AGTTTGATTCCATTTTGAAACAAGTCAGAAACGCTTTCCAAAGTAAGGAATGGAAAAACATCTCCAGAAGCTGCACTCACATTGTAACACAGCCACACTGGACTCTTCATGATTGATGGGTGGACTAATGATGGATGTACGTCCATTATGAGAATCAAACCGAGCAGCAGAGAGGCAGACGATTATATAGAAGGATTTTTTTTTTTTTTTGGCGGACAAAAAAAAAGGGGATATTAACATAGCATATAAAATAGCTGCAATTCTGAATGCAGGAGCCAACTAACCAGGGGAAGGATGACTTTAGTTTATTTTTATTTCATTTATTTTTTAATTAATGAAATCATGAACTCTCTGGAAAATATAAAATAGTCGACCTGCAGCAGGCAAAGCCACCTGGATTCATCGCCCTCCTGGCTTTGCTTTCAGAAGAGAGCGTGGTCATCCACTGCTGAACTTTACATTATTCACATAATCTTCTGGGTTTTTAGAAGCACTCCCTATGTCTCTGATTATAACAGATATCATGTTCTGAAGTGATGCAAAGTACACTTCAAACCCCTGAACCTGTAACCACTGTGTGCACACATTACAGGTCATGAAAAATGTCCTCTACTCAAACTAGAAGACGGATCATGATATTAGCCGAGGGAAGGATCATATCAAATAAAAAATAAAAAACTTTCTTCCTGGTAAAGTTCTCGTCTGAAACTATTTATGAAAGGCCTCTTTTTGAAATATTGATAATGACTGAAGATGAAGGCCTCCAGGAAGACGTGAAGCTTGAGAAATAATGTGAGTCTGCTACCAATCTAAAACCCCCATATGCAACACACACACACACACACACACACACACACACACACACACACACACACACACACACACACACACACACACACACACACACAGAGCAGAATAATGGGTTAATTGGGACTCATTGTTAAATTTGAGGGGGATACAAAGCATGCAACAGGATGAAACACAAACATACGTGGGAATCAGGCTTAATGTCTCTATAAATTATAATAACCTCGACGTTCATCTGTTTGTCGGCCATGTTTTTTTCCTCGGGGGCCACCTTGCGGAGCGCTCTGACAACAACAACGCTCGCGATGTGTGGAAATCGGATCCGCAAGAAAAATCTGCCAGCGATTATCTTCTCGACGCAGGAATAGCGTGTCATTAACAGACACATCAGATACAAGCAGATGTCGTCAAGCTGCTCGGGGAAGAAGTGAGAAGACCTCTCCATCGAGCAGCACATCAACACGCCATACGCATCGCTCATCACACAACGGCTAAACGTGGCCTCGTTTCATTACAGCTGATGAATTTTTTTTAAATGCTCTGTTTGTGCCCTTTGGCTAACTGGATGCACCTCCATCTGAACGTAAACAAAAAGGCGTTAAGCGTTTTAAAATAATTGTGAGGCTAACACGCCTCATGTTCACTGACGGATCTTTGAAAGAAGTATTCATATCTACGTTGTTCATTAAGAGAAACCTAAATGTTAATAATTCACTGATAACCTCCTTGTGGAGAGGAGGAGCCTGTAAGTGAATAAACATGAAATTTAAAGGTGAAAAAATACAGATTGCCCTTTAATTGATTGGACGGATTGACAAGGGTTAAATTAGCCAGATTTTCCCGTGTCAGGTTTTTTAGACCCCATTCTCCCCTAATTTTCGCCTCTACTACTATCACCCTATTGTCTTCAGGAAGAAATGTTTGCACCTGAAATCCAGCAGCCTGTTTAGGTAGCAGCTTAGGCTTCTATCACGACGTTCAGGTGACGCCTGTCCCTGTCGGTGTTACCGGGGCTGCAGAGGCTGCAGAGGCTGCAGAGGCTCGGTGGCTCCGCAGAGGTGTGCAGCAGTCTCACCCTGTCGTGAGGAGCTAATTGGAGTGGCCTCATTTAGCAACACGTCAAAAGAGCGACGCGACAACACCGTGTCAGCGCCTCCACAAATCTCCTGCACGCTCCGGAGCTTAATAGCATGTCAGAGAGCACAAGTGATGCAACGTGGGGTCACCGGGAGCCGATGTTTCACTATAACGAACCCGCTATCTGAGTGTGTGTGTGGGGGGGGCTCGGAGATGGATGTCCCAATCAGAGCTGTGGTTAAATAAAAAAAGAGCTGCTGTGAAGTGTTTGAGCTCCAGTCAGCTGCTAAACACCTTTTAAAACTTTAAAGTAAAGGTTTAGAAAAAATACAAATGAGTTGTGTTGTAGCCTGAAGATTAAATGTTTCTAAAGATGGAGGTACCATTTAAATAATAATAATAATAATAAAGACTCAAGAATTTGAATAATTGATAATAATTTGGGATAATTCCTAAAATGTTCAAATTAATTTGAGGGATAATTTCATTTTGAGATATTGGAATACAAGATGAGAAACTTAAATATCTCAAATAATTAAAACATTATTTTTGAACTATTTTTTTATCCTGTTTGTAATGTGTGTTTTCATTTAAAATAAATAATAAGGGTTAGGTAATAATAATGTTCTGGGAAGAATAAATAATAGCTTCATTACTGTTTGCAGTGTGAGGCGTTCACTGCGTGTTGGATTTCTCCATCATTACAATGGTTTTATTACTTGGACGCGTTTGAACGTGTCTGCATGTCTTTAAAAGGGAAAGTGGTCTTGACTTGAATTTGACCTTTTTTGCATCATAGCACTCTGGAGCTCAGCAGCTGGAGTCTGTGGGATGGCTTGTGGGATATTTCATGACTTGCACCTCTTGAAGTTTTTTGAAACTGAAATATAGATCTCTCTCTCTCTTGCACTGGAAACCTAATAGTTAAACCCAAGTGTAAATGTTGAACTTATCGATGTAGTCCTCAGTGAGTGACGGCAGCTGGCCTGTAGATCAGAGAGCTGGCAGAGGCATGGGCACCTTATATGTGGTTGGGGGGGGGGGGGGGGGGTTAATAGTTTTCTCCTAATCTTGGACCGAAGTTATTCCGCGTTCTGGGAAAATAGTTCCACGATGAGTTGCATTTATCTGCACGTATAAAGCGTATTCAGAAGAGGGGGCTCACTGGGAGAATGCCAATAAGATCCAAAAAGAGGGACCAAAACTTTAACAACAACAACAAAATCAAAACAAATCTACAATGTGGACTCTTACAGTTCAAGTTTTTAAATGCGTAAATAGTTTGCAGATGAAAACAGACACATCTTTGCTTTTTACTGTTTAAAACCCCCATGAAGGGAGAGGCTGACACTGTGACACTCTCTCTACCTCGGTAACACAAACGTCAGGCTCGCTTTATGGCCACAAGTGCTGGTGATAAATATTCATGATGCTGGCGCCTGCGCTTTCCTCAAATCGGAGTGTTTGTCATTTCCAGACTTGGAGCGTAAATACATTTAAAGTGGATGTTTTCTTCTTTCGTGCACATCAGCTCCTATTTGATCTGCAGTCACCGTCAGCTCCACACGACGACGCGCTGCAGCCTGTCGTCGACTTGCTCTCTTTACGAGCATTTTATTTTTCGTGTGTTCAGTGTAAAGTAATACGACGGAAGCCTGGAGTGGAAATTAAACGGCGTGGGAGCTGACATGTTTTGAATTCAGGACGTGGACGCGGCAGAATCTGGCTGTTTTTTTTTGAGGGTCTAGTTTGGGTTAAAAAAAAAACTAGAGGGTGAGGACAAACTCACGTGTTTGGACATAAACAAAAAGAAACTCAAATAAATTCAGTAGATGTTTTTTTTCCAGCATTATTAGCCTGGGATGTAAAGCAGAATTTTCCATCTGAAGTGTTTTCTCCAATTCAAAAGATGAATAAACTGCTTTTAGGTGCACTTAGCTGCTATCTCTACATTTGTCAATTTGGCACCAGATTTATATTCAAATCTGGTGCATGAGGGGAAATATCCCGCCAGCTAGAAACCACATGACAATGTTCTAACACAACCACTTTAAACTATTTATATTTGCAGTAACATGATGAACATTTTTCTATAAAGCTGCAAAGTGACTCTCTCTCTCTCTCTCTCTCTCTCTCTCTCTCTGCAGACAGACAGCTAGTGTTAAATAGAGTCGAAAAAGTCATTTTATTACCATCCTTCATTTATCTCCACATCTAATAGTCCGTGAAAAGAAAATATGAATACATTTCAATACATTTGGACAAATCGTCGAAGATGGCGTGAGTCGTGGATGTTTTGTTTTATTTTTATGTTGGCTGATGACGCACGCACGCACACACACACACACACACACACACACACACCTCTGCAGCTTTGTGTCGATTGTTTTTACGGGGAAGTTTTTCGAGCAGCATTTTGTGACAGAGCTGCAGACTGACAGATCGTGGCTCCGTGCACACTGGCAGTAGTGTTAACCGTGATCAGAGGCAGTGCTGCTGATGTGATCTCTGCCTAATGGGCCGGTCAAGCAAGCAAGCTGCTGCCAGGAAAACAATGAGGAGGGGGGGGGGGCACACTCACTGACTCCTCTGCTCTGCCGTGGAAGTCTATGGAACCCCGACAAAACGGCGAAAGAGGAAAATAAATTAGATTTGAAAATTAGATTCCCGAACAAATTAAGTAACAAACTATTTTGGGGGTTTACACCGAGGAACAACCTCCGTGATTAATCGATTTAATTTGCACATTACCGGAGGGCAAAGTGTTGGATGTTAATTTTGGATAAACAGAAGATGCAGAATGAGGGGGAGTGGATTTAACTCTTATTGACTGTCAGGGTAGTTTGTCGCCGTGCGTTTACAACATAACCTTTAGCTTTGAATGCGCCACACACACACACACACACACACACACACACACTTGTAAAAGCATGCACACACACACACTCACTCACAATGAAGAGTAAAAAGAAACCGAAACATGCAATAAATGGAAAGCGTGCAAAAAGCTGCAAACACTCTTCTTACACTCTGCAGCAAATTCTTCTTTTTAAATGCACTCTTCATAAAAAAAAACAACCAATCCAAACCACACCAATAATCTCCAACGAATTGCATGATGGTATTTTTTTTTAATCCTTTAATATAGTACGAAATGTATCCAAACATTTTTTTGTAAACTAAATTTTACATACGAGCGCATTTCTCCATAAATACCGATCATTTCTAACATGTTACCGGTTCCTTTACATGCGGATAAATATGGAAAATTGAGCTACTTTACATGTAATAATAATAATAATAATACTTCCTTTCAGACAAAGCAATTGACAGAGATTTTTTTTTTTTATATTTATCACGTACATAAACAGGTTGACACGGAATTTCAGGCTTCCACTACACGAGTTATCGACATGACATTAAATAACAACAATGATACTGTGCTACTCAAACTGGACCTTGGACGAAAATGTTGCACTGAATAGTCTACAAAAGCACATTAATACTAAGAGTCGGTTAGGTCGACGTGTAGACTGTAGTAATACTGAATAATTCACATTTGGTTCACAACTATAACATTCTTTTTCAATGATTCGCGATATTCTTTAAAACCATCTCATTTTTCCATATATCTAGGGACCACATTTTCACAGATTTTCCCTTAAACTGTGATATTTACAAAATAAAATATTACATTTCCCCCAATGTTGGTGAAATCCTTATGTACAAAAAATTCATGGCCCGCAGATTGCATGCTGTGTTTGAGATCTCTTATTGAACAGTCTCTCGGTAAAAATAAAGAAATATCGAGGAAAAAAGTTTAACTTCTCGTCCTTTGCCTCCTTTTTTTGTCCATGCAATTCTCTCTCTTTCACAATAAGACAGCCTTTAACATGATCGATTGGGCCTCCCCCGGCTTCTCTCAGTCCATGTTTCTCAAAAGTCTTTTTGATTCCAAGCAGTGTCTTTTTTTAAAATCTGCATCAGTCTTTTTTCTCTCTCTCTCTCTCTCTCTTTTCAAAAATATTTACACGTACCATTCATTGAAATTTGACGTCAGCGTGCTGTGGCTGCTCGTGTGGTGCACTGCTGAGGCTGCTGGTGATATGGAGCTGCTGCTCTGGTTCTCTGTAGACGGGGACACTATGGTGGGGGGTGTGGACGACTCATACCCTGAACTGGCCGCTGGAGACGGCTGCGGGCCCGGGTTGGTGGACTCGTGGACCTTCAATAATAGAGAATAAAAAAATGCAATCCTGCATAAGATGTTTGTTTTTGTGCAAAAATACAAGACATGAAGAGAATCATCCAAAAACAATTAAAAGTCCTGCTTTGACTGATGTGAACATCCTAAACAAAAGCAGAGCCCCAACATTATTACTCTCATTAAGATCTTAATCTCATTTCTCGGTTGAAAGAAAAGAAAGAAAGGAAGTGTCAAGGCACATTAACTTATGTTTCTGAATTTCTACGGGCTGAAAAAAAAAAGCTGTAGTATTTTTCCAACATCATTTCTAGTCAAGCAATAAAAAAAATGTTTCAGCAAATTACAGTTACAACAATTTATTTCTAAAACAATTAAATACTGCAGAAATAAATGTCTTTTTTTTACCTTCATGTGTTTCCGTAGGGAGCTGGGGTGTGTGTACGACTTGTCGCACATTTTGCACAGATAGGGCTTGTCCGACGTGTGCACGTGCATGTGTTTCTTGCGGTCGCTGCTGTTTGCAAACCTTCTGTCGCAGCCTTCAAACTCACACTTAAACGGCTTCTCACCTTAAATGAGGACACAAATATACAATTATTTATGTTGGACTGGATTTCAAAATTATTCTCATCTTATTCTTTTTTATATTTGAACATTTGTTTTGAACGCTTTAATATTTTAAATTCTCAGATCTACATTTTTAGCTTTAAAAATGTAGATCTGTATTTAACATGAGAATTGCACTTTGCAAAATTACATTCAGAATTTAATAAATTCAAAAACAATTAAATGCCTGTAACAAATACAAATTTGAGTATAATATAACAAGTGTTAAGAAAACACACACGTGAATTATTTTCTGTTGACAACTGAATGCCAGAGAAGACTCTCCAGCTGTCTAAGATATAATAACCCGGATCACATGCATATTTTGGATGAGATATTGTCACGGGGTCTGGCAGTAAATATTCTCTCTCTAAGCAGGTCTTACCGGTGTGAGTCCTTTTGTGAATTTTTAGATTTTCCGATCGAGCGAACACTTTGCCACATCCGGGGAACGGACACGGAAACGGCTTCTCTCCGGTGTGTACCCTGATATGATTCACAAGTTTGTATTTGGCTTTGAACGGCTTCCCCTCTCGGGCGCAGTCCTCCCAGAAGCAGATGTGGTTGGTCTGCTCCGGCCCCCCCACATGCTCCACCGTCAGATGGGTCACCAGTTCGTGCATCGTGCTAAAAGTTTTGTTGCACGACTTTTTGGGGTTCGTCAGCTGCTCCGGCTCGATCCACTTGCAGATGAGCTCTTGCTTGATGGGCTGCCTCATGTATCGGAAGAAGGCCCCGGCTCCGTGGTGTGCCGCCATATTCATGTTCATGGGGCCGTAGCCGTGCAGCTGGGTCGAGGCGTAGTGGTCGGACCGGGGGCTCGTAACATGGCCGTACTGGTCGGCCCGTCCGTACATGTCCCCCGAGAAGCCCAGCCGCATCTGGCTGTTGACCACGTTGGAAGACGCATGGCTCGCCGCTTGCTCGTGCAGCCCCGGGAAGAGCAGGTGCCCCGCCGCATCCGAGTGTCCATGTGGCCCTGCGAAACTTCCGGAGGCGAACAAACTGTGCTGCGCCCCGGCGGCGTCCCCGAAACCCCGATTTCTGAAGAGAAAGTCCCTGGTGGAGTTGAACGCCGCCGTGGAGTAAGAGCCAACGTGGGTCGGGTGGTGGTGGTGTCCCAGGGCGGCAGCCGCGTAGCCGGGCGCCTGGGAGGAAAACGCCGTTTGTCCGGAGCCGATGTCGTGGGAGCTGTGGTTTATTTTGAAGGCGCCCATCCCATCCGCGAACGGATTTATCCCCAACGCCACCTCTCTCTCCGTGACTTCGCCTGTTGAGTGATGCCGCGAGGAGCCGAAAGTAGTGACTCCTATGGTGGGATACTGCGGTCCTGCGTCCAGGAGCATCTTCAGTCTAGACTCGCCGAGACGACTGAGAGCAGAAATCAAAAAATCACGCACAGATATTCTTCCTCCCCCTCTCTCTCTCTCTCTATCTCTTGGACCCTCACTCGACTGAGCAAAACTCTCCAAATCCACCGATTTTCTGTTTACTTTCTAAGACGCGAGGAATTCCCCTATACCACTCACCCGATGCACACGCAGAATCATGTATACATGCAATATTGTCTTTTGCGGTTTATCTCCCTGTGGCGCAACTTTCACCTCCTCAGTCAGGCGGTGAGCTCCAGACTGATAGTCGCAATCATTCCTGCAGATAAATGAATTGAAAAGACAACACAGTCCAGCCCTGATGAATGGGGGAGAGGAGGAGGGGGCGCGGTCACATGGCACAGGAGCTGCGGCGCTCATTGGTTGGGCCCCTTTTCCCCCCCAGTAACATCCACTCACCAAATAACAATCCACGGTGCAGGGCCCACGCTTCTATTGGCCTCTTTGCATCATCAATCCCAGATATTGTGAGATTGCTGACTGTGGATTTGGTTAAAAGGCTGAATAACAGCAAAACAAAAAAAGTTGAGGAAGAGAAAACAAGGAGCTGCCGTGTAGAGAGTCGAGGCACGTTCTGCAGCCACATACTGCAGTAATGGGAAGCAAATGTGTCAGATTGTCTTTGTTAACGTGGGCACATTGGATGTTAAAGAAAACACTTTGGTGGTTTAATTTGTTCCTTTTTTTGTATGTGAGAACTCAAACATGATATATTAGCCTCACTATTTGTCTGCTGAAAGATCAAAAGGCTAACCCTTGTTTGAATGATACAAAAAGAGAAAACCACAAGATTAAATTAGGACATTTTCTTAATTTTTCTGGGTGGACAGGATTGTAAACAATCATTAAAGCATTCAAAGGTGCACGCTCATTACGCACGTCATGGCATGCGTGTTCATGCACACACCACTTCTCCATCTTTCCCCCAGAACCCATCACGGTAAAACCTTGATGTTTGATATATAAAGTCTGCACACTGTCATCACTCTCTTTTATGAACTTATAAAGAATCCACATTACATTTTGTTTTCTCTCTCTGTGTGTTTTGCAGCCCTGCATTTCTCCTCGTGAACACATTGTTACAGCTCACACCAGTGCAACATCTGGGCTTTAGATTTCCACATCATCATTCTCACCACCAGCAGCAGCCCACGCTCACAACAAGGGTTATCTTCAATATCTTGGACACTTTCTGACTTGGATCTCCTTGTATCCATAATGTACTCTGCTCTGCTTGTGCAACTTACTCGTTTTATTTTTTATTATTTGCAGGTCAGTGATGCATGGCCTGTGTGCAAGACGTTGTGGGTTGTCGACGTTATCAAGTGGGATTTGCGGCGCTCTCTGCAGGAACCTCCGGCTGCTAGAGTTCAAAGCCACATGCACAGACCGTGCCATGCAAACCATTAAAAATATCTTCTTGGCTACTAGGCTAGTTTCTTACAAGGCATTCTCCAAGTCAGTCTTAAGGAGACCAGGCAAAGAGGGGAGGTTTTGGTGTTCTCAACATAACAAGTAGACCTACAACTTGAGCTGGAGGTTTTTTTTTTAGGCAGTTCGCTGCTTTACTTTGCAAACTTTGGAGGAATCTTTCAACAGGTGGAAAACGGTAAGAATGGCAAATCATTGACGAGGTCAATCAGGTCCTATAATCAGCCTTGCACCATGCAAATAAAAATTGGAATTTGTGAAAATAAAAATAGTTCCTAGAATTGTGCACAACTGAGTGCGTTTAAAGTTGATGTGCGTAAAATGACTCTAACTTTTATTTCCATTCGTAAAAGTAAAAAGAAATGTGCCTTAATTAAAATTAAATGACAGTTTAGGGATAAAACATGTCCAGAGTCTTACTTTAGGATTTGAAATGATTACCAGGAACTGTTTAGGATTTACAGTGAAAGCCACTCAGCCAGATTTTTACGAGTCCTCTCTCCAATATTCAGCTTTTTTTCTTCTTCGTTTGTTTAGGATCTAAGGCTTCTCTCTCAGTCAAGTAAAACAGGGCAGTAGTTTAAGTGCGTGCACAACTTGGGACCAGAAATAGCACTTCAAAGTTTTGCATTACGCTGGTGCTGTGATGCCTCTGAAGGCTACAGCTGTGAGCCTCATGAACCCCCACGCGAAAAGGCCATTTAATAAACATCTTTTGGATCCGTCATGTCTCAAAATATTGACTCCATTTCTAACGTGCTGGATGTGACGCTGTCAGCGGCGATGTTGACAAGTCAATTCACAGGAGTAACCCCGGGGGGAAGTAGTTTCTGCATTCTTTTTTTTGACTCATAGAAAACATAAAAGAAGAATGAACGGAATTCCCATCCAGAGTATGGACTTAAACACTTTGGTGTAAGAAAACCAAACTTTCTCTTTTTTTTAGTATGTCTTGTCTGTTTTCTCACCAACGAAAAATAAAAGAGTAAAAGAGTGTGAGGAGGTCAAGTCACTGAATATTTAATGTACGCGCGTGTGTCAGTCTCTCTCTGTGCGAGTGTGTGTGTGTGTGTGTGTGTGTGTGAGACAACTCCTGCAGTGATTTTTAAGTTATTTTAAAAGGATTACAAAGTACAACATAAATAATCATTTTTTTTATTTGACACCATGGTGATCCACACTGCACGTGACCTTTAAGGTCACTACAAAGATTAACATCACACCACCTATCCTCTCAAAATCTGAATCGACTGTAAACGCAGATTTCGTTGCAATGTAAAAAGATGAAACACGAAAATGTATCAGTCCAAACTCTTAATTATAATAATAATAATAATAAAACTAGTTCAAGACAGCATGCAACTCATTCCCTGACTGCAGTATTCAGACAAATTAATTCAAAATGTCCAACACGCTGAAGAATAAAACGCATCACCTGTAAAACAAACATGTCGGAGCATTTTGATAAACACACTCACATGTTTTTCTGATAGTTTTAAAAGAACAAGTCATGTGAACAAAAATATCTTTGACTGTGAAGATTAAACACAGAACGCTTTATATTTCTTCTACGGCAGATTATCTTCCATAACTTATTTTTTTCTTTACAGCACTCAAAGCAAAAAGCAAACTCCTCTCTTAGCCTATCATCCTCGATGGAACAAGATTTGTAGTAACCGATACTCACTGGTTTTATTTTGAGCTTAAGTCTGCAACGGCACCAACTCCCGTGACCCTCATCTGCTGCCGTCCTGGGTCTAAAGCAAAATTACCCCGGATCATAACAACAGGTCCCGTCCATTACATTTTTTTTTCTCTCTCTTCGGGACAATGGCCGCAGCTCGCCCCGTTCACACTTCCTACACACGCGGATCCCACCGAGCAGAGCACCGAGTCAACGCCGAGGAAGACGCGGCAGGGCAAACGACTCGAGATGCAAATCTGGGAGTTTTATAAAAGCGCATATTAATGGTATGTACCCCGGACTATATGAAACTCCCACGTGGAGCTTTCCTTCGCTACAGTGGAGAAGTCTTTCTCCGCTCGACGCCGATCTTTAACGTGCGTAAAGTTGTGCGTAAAGTTATTCTTCACGCGTAGCAGGGCATAATGAAGATATCACTGCATTATTTATGATCCTTAAACTTTAATACTGACGATATGCATGCTCTTGCAAGGCGGTCTGTGTTGTAATAGCATAATCAACGTGGGGGGAAATTGCTGTTTCATGGCCGCGCAGCTTTTGTTCGCTGCGACAAAAGAGAGAGGATTGTATATCTGGATCAACTTTTGGAGACTTTTATTGTACAATAACCTTTGCATAACAACTCTTTTTTCTCAAGCGTTGCCTGAGGCACTGCGCATGCGCACTGGCCGCTCGCTGTCACTAAGACATTTTTCTTCACGTTGGAAACTGTCACTGGTGACGTCAATCACCGGGCTCTGACCAATTAGAGCGCAGGGTGATTGTTTAGCTCCACGGGCTGCAGCGCCTACCATGAATCTCTATTCAGTATCAAAGCGTCCTGCTGCTGCCTCTCAACCGAATGGGATTCCATGTAGTCTGCAGATAGACTTAACTTTAAAAAGTCTTTTTTTTTTCTTTATTTTTCACTGCGATTAAAATATATTTGTCATCATCATTATTATTTTGCCTGCTGTCAAGTTATTCTAAAATTAGGAAGTAATGAGCGTGGATGCACTGGGAAGCCCCGTGATGGACCCTACGTTTTCCAAACGGAACACGGCGCTGAGATTAGTTGACTTGGCAGGGGCTCACCACCATCACCATCATCACCACCATACCCCTCAGAGCGTGACAGGCTTCCCGGGGTTCAGCAGCCATCCACACTCAATGGCTCACTCGCACCCTGGGGAGATTACTGCGGAACCCCGCCTGGGGCCGAGTCCATTCGGGCCAGAACACATGGGGCACTCCGCGGCCCTCAAAATCAGCCCAGCCCATCATTATCCCCACCACCATCACCACCACCACAATCATCATATGGCAGGCCACAGTGAAGTGGTCTCCAGTCAAACGGGAGCTTTTGGCCCGGTTCAGGCGACATCCGTGCCCTATTCTATGTCTCACACGGCCCAGGCTCTATCCGCAGGTAGGGATTTCCTCATCCGGAGAGATCTGACAGCTCAAGCCATGCCAGTGCTGACTGACCAGACTGCTGGTTCAGCCTCTCACCACGGAATGTTTGTCTCAACAACAGGTAGCTATCCCGGACACTATGGTCACCACCCTGACGCTGGGAACCATACCCTCTTCTCCGGACTCCACCACGACCAGCCTTCTAGCGGATCACCGGGTGGCCAAGCGTTGAATGGACAAATAAGGTTAGGACTACCTGGAGAAATGTACGTTAGGTCTGATCACTTGAGTCAAGTGGCAAGCTCCAGGGCTGATCCGTTTTCAGCCTCGCCGTTGCACGGCTACGGTGGACTGAATCTGAACATGAATCTGAGCGCTCATCACCACCACCACCACCACCACGGAGCCGGCGCGTTTTTCCGCTACATGAGGCAGCCGATAAAGCAAGAGCTCATCTGCAAGTGGCTGGAGCCGGACCACGCTCCGAAGAAACTCTGCTCCAAAACTTACAGCACCATGCACGAACTGGTAACGCATGTGACGGTGGAGCACGTCGGAGGACCCGAGCAGGCGAATCATATCTGTTTTTGGGAAGAGTGTCCGAGGGACGGCAAACCCTTTAAAGCCAAGTACAAACTTGTAAATCACATCCGAGTACACACCGGGGAGAAACCGTTTCCGTGCCCGTTCCCTGGCTGTGGGAAAGTGTTCGCCAGATCCGAGAATCTAAAGATCCACAAAAGGACTCACACAGGTCAGTAAATACATTTTCAGAATGTGAAACGTTGCTATAATTCTAGAAGTCAAATTATGAAGCTGCATGCTTAAAAATCACTCGCAGGTTTTTGCATGCAGTTCAACAAAAGTGACGTGATAGTGAGCAAATGTTGCGGCTTATTTTTTTATTTTATTTTATTTGGTTTGGGGCATTTTAAAAATGTCCTCTGATGGGCAATTAACCTTTCCTGCGCGCAACAGCCGCTGCATGGCCACCTGTTTGTTGTGAGTTGCAGCAGCATTACTCACTAGTTTTTTTTGTTTTTTAAAAAGGTCGAGCTTGCTGGGGGGATTAAGGTACAGCTCACTCAAGCGTGTGACGGTTCAACCTCTTGTTTGCACCACAGCACAAACAGAGTGAGGCCCACGTCAGGTCTTTAGCATGTATCTTTTTTTGCACCAGGCAGCAAAGTTAGAAAAGGTGCATCGCGTTCAGTCAGTGTGTGGTTTTTATTCTCTCATTTTCTTTGTTTGTCTTCTCCTTTTTTTAAAAACTATTTCATACATGTTCCTTCAATTCAACCAGTTAAATAATTCTAAAAGTGAGCTGGATTCATTGCATTTTTTAACCTCACATATTTGTTTTGAACACACATCATATTCACTCCATCAGATTGACATGCCATGTGTTTGTGTAGAGGGAAAGCATCCTTAGGAATAATCAGCCTTCAATCAACAGGTTAACAATGGCTTCAATAATTCACCAACAGGTTGGCAGAGCAGAGCTGCCTGCCCTCTATAGAATGACTGACGTGTGTACAATGCAGCTCTGATTTAACTTTAAAAAACATATAATGGCCACAATATGGCTGCTCGCCTCTGTGACACAGTGACGTGGAGCTTTAGTGAGGAGGGAGGAAATAAAAAAAAAAGGGGGCCTCAAAATGTCGAGTCACACTTGTAAATGAACACAATGATTACATTCCTTTTTTTTCCCGGGGTGGCTGCATGGCACACTCCCCCCTCCCTCTGCTCCATTTCTGCGCCCTATGTATTATTCATATCATTTGCTCACATTACCTAAGTACAAATCTGTTAAATTATTTCTGTGTGTTGTGCTCCCAAGGGGCCTGGTCTTTTGGTATCATGTTTAAAACCTATCCGAAAGTGTGCTTATGACTGGGGCTTGCCCCTGGGGTCTGTTCCTCGACGCTTTCTTGTACTACACTAATATCCTTGATTGGCTCTCTCAACCCAACAGCTGAAGGTCAAATTGATATTCAGCCCGCTAAAGTGTAATTAGACAGAAGCAATTACATATTCTCAAAAGCTTTAATCGGAGGAGAAAAAATCAGCAACTGGATGATTCCCGTGTAATTTATTCAGATTGTCTTTTTTTTTTTTTTTCGCCCTGTCATAATCAGGTAGAAAAACGTGTTATTGAGACGCAGACTGTAAGCTTCACACACACACACACACACACACGCACACACACGCACACACACACACACACACACACACACACGCACACACACACAGACGTTCTGATGCAGCTTGGCTACTTTCATTTATCATTATTTACTGTTGGTTTGAGGCCTGAGCTCGTCTGTTTTGACGTATGCCGTGATGCATGCAGACGCCAGGTATAGACCCGGGACAGTGGGGGTTCAGCCCTCCTGTTTACAGCAGACAGAGGCGCATGGCAGGTCTGTCCAAACAGGCAAACTTTGGAAAGTGCCATGCAGCAGGGGAGGGGAGGGGGGGACGTGTGTTTACTGTACCCACCAAATGATAAAAATAACAATAATGGCTATTTCAATTTGTATTAATCTGTATTAATGGACAAACATCATTGCATACTTGTTGCTTTGTATATTATTTATGCCCACCTTTTATTAAATAATTTAATATTTCAGCTTTTTCTCTGCTAGAAGTGGGGAGGGTCTTATTTATTTATACTTGAAAAAAACATAAATTATACCAAAAACAAAGAAATCCCTGATGCTCTTGGGCGTCAAATGTCTCTTTAGTTCCGCCTTTAATGTCTTGACTCCTCTTTCATTGTGTCACCTTCACTGTTCACAGGTGAGAAGCCCTTCAAATGTGAGTTCGACGGCTGCGACAGACGCTTCGCCAACAGCAGCGACCGGAAGAAGCATTCCCACGTCCACACCAGCGACAAGCCCTACAACTGCAAAGTGCGAGGCTGCGATAAGTCCTACACACACCCCAGCTCCCTGAGGAAACACATGAAGGTGCACTGCAAGTCCCCGCCGCCCAGCTCGGGCTACGAGTCCTCAACCCCGTCCCTGGTCTCCCCCTCCTCAGACTTGGGCCGAGAGCCAGGGGCCTCCTCGGTGCTGTCGGAGCCGGCGGGAGCCTCCTCCCAGCCCGCCAATTTAAGCGAGTGGTACGTGTGCCACAGTTCAGGTGCCAGCGGAGCCCAGACACCGCCCAGTGGGGCCTCCACACCAGACCCAGCAGATGAGCCACCGTACAGGAACCCGGAACCGAGGGACGCGTTTTAACCGCACTCAGACTCGGTGCCAGTGGTGACAGAACACATTTCCAAAAGCTCAACTATTAAAAATGGTTTGGCTTTGTTGCCTAAATATGCCAGCAAAGGCCCACTGGTCCCCCCTCTCTTTTTTTTGGATGAGCCACCAAACAGACACCCAGAGCCAAGAGACGCATTGAAACCCACATTGAAGGGGGAAACGTGTAAACCTTAAAGACGTGCTAATTTCCAGGCACAATAAAAAGAATATATTTTGAAACCTCAGCGATTGAAACGCTTGGCTCAGTGCCTGTTACGGCCCAACTGGCCCACTTGTGAGGGGGGGGAGTCGTGTAAATCCGTCCTAGACGATGTGGTACTTTATTGTAGGCTAGGCATGTTGGTGTCAAATGATTTTTGTAAATTACGAGTTTTGACTTCGATATGTTTTTATTTATTTTTCAAACCTGATCTCTCGGAAGAATTTTTTTGTATGATCGAACCAAAGTGCATGTTTTCAATTTGGGGCAAACTTGTACATTTTGTTAATTTTTGTAACTCTCTATGGCTGTGTTGATGTTTTGTAAAGGATCTTCACGTTTACACACTTTTCATTTTTTCATTTGTGCAGAGGCTCAACAAACAACTCAACTGTTTTTTCAGACGCCTGCAGTGTTTGATAGACGAGCGTTACAAACTCTACATGTTTGATCCAAGTGGGCATTTTGTGATTTTTGTATCATTGTCGTCAATATATAAATATATCTATATATATTTTTTTTCTTTTTTGAATATCTGAAAAACGAGCGGCACTCAAACTGCGTACCGAACTGCCTTGTTATATGTGAGTATTTTGAATAAATCTTGTATGACTAAAAATGAATGAGCTGCCAGGCCAATCACATTTCTGGAATTTACATCCATCCAGTTGCATTTAAAAAAAAAAAATAGATAATTTTCTGTGGAGTGTATTGAGAAAGTCTGTCTTTAAAATTTATATTTGTAAATTTAAATCATAATTTTTTATCCTTTTACATAAATGTCAGTGAAAAAAACTGTGTGCTTTTCCAAAGTGAGAAAAAAAAGGTGCAAAAATCCAGAGAAGTTCAACGTACTGATACTTCTGGTACTTCTTTAAATAACTTTGGTAACATTTTCTGTTCAGAGAGTTTTATTTTTCTCTTCACAGGAGGACTCTCTCTCTCTCTCTCTCTCTCTCTCTCTCTCTCTCTCTCTCTCTCTCTCTCTCTCTCAGCTGAGCTCTGATGTGATGAAGGGTTCTACAATATTCTGATCCAGACTTCAAAGGGCACTTGGCACAAAGGAGCCATTTTTTTTCACGACGGTGAATCCTCACGGTGAATTAAGATTTCTAAAGCAATAGCCGAGTCAAACTCAAATGATATGGGGGCCAAGTCCGCGCGTTGAAAAGGCCGCTCTAAAGAATGTAATATTTGCTTCCCATGGGGTCGGAAACGGTAATCTATGTCCTTTATGCTGCAGACGAGGGGCAGCATAAAGAAGAAAAAATATATTCTTTTGCTGCGGGCCTACTTCACGACAATCAAAGGAGAAGCCGCTCAAACGCAGTTGTCCCGCAACATAATGGACTCTGCACTGCTCAATAGATCCTGAATCATATTTTAGACTCTATACATCACGATCACTGCACATGCGCATAATAGACGCATCCATTAGCTTTTTATTTTATTAAGGAAGTTGTGAGTGGTTTGGAAACACGCAGCAGCCACAGAGCTCACATGTTGTTCTGGGAAACTTCCTGCTCTAGATTTTGGACCCCGGCCTTGAATGAGTCAGAAGTGGGTGGAAACAAACATTGCTTGAACTCCCCCCCCCCCTGTTTATAGAGTTTGGTTAAGTGCATTGTAGTGAAGAGACTGCAGGCGAAAGAAAAGAAGAATGAACAAATAGAAGAATATGACTAAGTCGTTTGGCACCAGCTCTGTGCGCGTAAAGAAAGAAAACCAAAAAACCAAAAACAAAGAAAGGAGGAAGAGAAAAAAAAAAACAAGAAGATGGATCTCAATTGAAAGTGGGAGTCTTTGAAGTGGAAGTTGATATCAGAGGGATTCTTCTAGGTCGTCTGAACGACGTTGATGACACGGAAAGCCTTTTGTCACCGATTTGTTGGGCTCCTCTCTATTGGATTCCTCTCTATTGGGAACGTCTAAAGCTTTTAGTTCCAGTCGTCAAAACGGACAAGAACTAACTGAGTCGCGTAGAAAAAAAAACATTTTCCATTCAGGGACTGGAAGTGAAGGGTAGGGGACGTTTGAAGGCTTGTTTCAGCAGGAAGAGAAGTTTAGAGCTCGGTTTGTAAATAAGGTTTGTAGGACTTAAAAAAAAAAAACATCTTTAGAGCAGGAAGAGATGAAAATAAAAGAGTCCCCGAGTTAAAATAATAATAATTACAAAATAAAAGCATGCTTCTGCTGCAGGACTAGTTCACTGACCTTTAATAATTTATGACTTTGACCAAATATAAACATCATGGACGTCTTCAGCCTGCACGTTTTGGAGGTATAGTTGATTCAAAGAGGCTCCAAACAGTGTTAAGTGAAGAGGAATGCATGTACCACAGCAGACATAAAACATGACTGTGTGTGTGTGTGTGTGTGTGTGTGTGTGTGTGTGTGTGTGTGTGTGTGTGTGTGTAGACTCTGGCTACTGCAGGCAGTTCAGTAAGAACTCGGAGAGGAGGATCTTTAACAACTGATCCCGTTGGGTTCACTCATCGAGACTTCCCTCTTTCAGCTGAGTGACAACCTTTGATCTGATATCAGCTCCGGGGTCAAGGTGTGTGTGTGTGTGTGTGTGTGTGTGTGTGTGTGTGTGTGTGTGTGTGTGTGTGTGTGTGTGTGTGTGTGTGTGTGTGTGTGTGTGTGTGTGTGTGTGTGTGTGTGTGTGTGTGTGTGTGTAGAGAGAGAGAGAGAGTTACTTCAGCTGTAACACTAATGTCAGTGGAAGACTCAGAAGAGAGCACATGTTAACATGAATTATTCTAATTTAAAAATACTTTGTTCAAAGTTTATTTAAGATTAATAGTTGTAGGAGATTTGTGCAAAAAACAACAACAACAACAACAACAACAACAACAACAACAACAACAACAACAACCCAAAGTGAACGGATGTGATTTTCTCCCAAGGCCCCTCTCTCTCTCCACCTCTGCTGCGTCCCGGGACTCATTTGAGTGTGAAATATCATTTCTTTGTAAAAAAATAAAGGAAGCGGTAATCCCACTTCCTGAAACTGTCCGGCGTTATTGAACAAAACCCTTTTAATAGGGGGGATTAGCAGTCTAGGAGTAAAAGCCTCTCTCACTCACTCACCCCTCCTTCCACACACCCCACACCCCCTTTTTTAAATTTTTTTCTTCCTCCCTCCACGCCCACCCCACGCTCCAACACCACCCTCGGCACCTCCAACACCAAGCACAGGTCATAATTATCAGGAATGAAGTGGCCGAAATTGGCATGGCAAATAAAGAGAGAGACAGGTGCAATAGAGCCGTCAGAATCAGAGCGGAAGGAGTTGTTGTAAAAGAGGGGGGGGGGGGGGGCTTTATGTGGAAAACACACACATTCAGGAAACTGTTAATTAATATTATTAATTGTATTCAAAGTGACCTCAGAGCTCCTGACAGTTTGAGCATTTCATCTCTAAATATTGGGTGATATTTAGATTTTCACCTTAAAGGAGCATTCCACTCTTTTTTCTTTTTTCTTTTTTTTAATCAGACTTTGCTCCAGTGTGCAGAAACAAGGTCCCGAGTTAAATGCAACAATAAAATCTCGTGGTGAATGTTTAATATTTTATCCCCCATAGCTCCCAAGGTTAGTTTCCAAACGGGAGATTTACACAATCACGTGGTTTCGATGAACACGCAGCTTTTTCTGCCTGTGAGGATTTACGACAACCTTTAAAGCAAAAATGAACCGTATTCCGCATTTATTCAAAAAAAAGGTGAGCACGGTGAGCTAAGGCATGGTTTAGGGCTCCACCCCCGCGGTAGCTTTTTGTATATGGCTAGGCAAAACCTCACATAAGTCACAATCCGGGACAACTGGAGGGAACAATCTGGGCCAATAAGACCCCGTATATAGACGACCCCCACTGCCCAGGTTTTAGGATTACCGTCATGCACAGATTTTCAGGAAGAGAAGTTATTTTACTTCCATAGATGAGCGGACTCCCTCCGACGTGAATCAGCCCCCCTAGTAGCCTATAGGCCCCGAACATGGATTTCCAACAACCGGGACATTATATGGCAGAATGTGGCACATACTTCACACCTGCACTCTGAATAGCAGCAGCCCCCCCTTTTTTAACTTCCGTTATCCCTCCTCACTGTATGGATTCTCACATGCAGCATGAGCGCAGAGGGACTTGTTGCTGAGCAAACACAGTCGGAAATAAAGATCTAAATATTGTGGAAGTCTATTCAGAGAGTGTTGTGTTGATGAAAAACACGGGGAATTAAAAACACGCAATTCTTCTGGCAGCAGCGCAGTGTAAACAGTAATCTGATGACGTCAGGCTCGTTTCTCAAAGTGCAGCTTTAAGAAATGAGCAGAAATAAATGCCGATCATCTTAATTTAGCATTCTCATTATTCCAAATAACAAAACAACAAAACATTAAATTAATTAAGAATAATCAGGAATATTTTGAGATAAATATGCCCACTAAAAGTCGTAAAAATCAGGCACAATAAATGATTCTGAACTTGAGGATTTGCCCTTTTGGCGATGGAGTCTGAGTGACTCAAACCAACACATCATCATTTTAATTTTTCAACCTCCCTTGACCTCTCCAAGTGTTTGGTCACACTTATATTTTATAAAAGGCGAACAGGTGTGCTATAGGGTGTAAAGGAAATTCAACAAAAAGCAGTCTATGAAAACAAACATCCGGGTCTTTATATCTTTCAGCCTGCAGAAGTGAAATATGATTCAAGAAGTTGAGATGAAAAAAATAAAATAACCATTTCTCTGCTCTGCACGTGAAGGGCTTCACAGTCAATGAAATGGACCGTTTTAAGGACAGACAGAGAAAAAAAACCCTCCTACTGATTTAGCCAGAGCCATAATGGCACGAGTCGCGTTCACACAGTCGATAAAAGAGACAGTATATCATCATATATCAAAGTAACACAGAGTATTAAGGGGATGCAAATGCTGCCAGCATTATGAATCATTGCTTTATCTGCACTATTTCACACGTCAGATGGGGAGATCTGCTCGCGAAGAGACAGGCGGATGCACAGTTTGAGCAGAAACATAATGCAGTGATCAGTGTTGCAGTATCGAAGACTTTGGGTCATTTCTCCATCTCCCGCAGGAAAACGCATTAGGCCCCTCGTATTTACATACTCTTTAATATTTGACAAACATTCATAAATTACAAACTAATGAAATGTTCGACGGTCCTTGGAGATGGAGCTAATGAAGACATCGACTTTTTTTTTTTAGTTGTTCGCTTTTGACACATCTTTGTTAGGTTTTAATACCATCCTCTTTCTCTCACGCTCTATTAACTATTATTATACTGATGTCAGGCCACCGCTGACACGTTACGACACCAGGATCACCTGCTGGAGGTGGGCACGCCATGGGGCATCAATGGCCTCCATCTTTAACGACACGAGCAGTAGGCCATACAGACACAAATGTGTTAAATGCTTTGGAGCTAATTTTTTTTTTTTGCTGGAAAAATGTGATTCCATGTGGGTTTTTAAACTGCACACAGAAAAACAACAAAAAACACAAATCAAATATTTTTAGGATTTTTTTTGTTTTGTAATTTTTAAGCGAGAAATTAAAAGTCTAAATTTTGATGTTTTACATTTACTTTAAAAAAT